TATCATTATTAATTATTATTAATCTCTGATTTTCTTTAGGTTTATTTAGAAAACTTTTTTTTGTTTTGGGGCTTTTTTTTGTTTGTTTGTTAGGGTTTTTTTGCAGCTGGCTAGTTACAAAACCTTTGAACCCTTCTCTGAACTTTTCTTTTCTTGTCTGAGTTCTGTTTGAAGATTCAGTGCATCTTGGTTTCAGATGCTCTTGCAAGTAGCTTTTCTCCAGCCTCTTAGGAGATGCCTGTAATTGCCTTCTCATAATGTGCCTCAAAGAAGTTACCTTCTGAGCATTTCAAGTTAGTTATCTGGCCCTCCCTCTGGATATCTTGCGTATTCCCTTGTGAAAAAATGAAGGGAAGAAAAACAATTTTTTTTAACCTTGTGATATTTATTTATTTATTTATTGGTGACTACAAAGCCTGGCTTTATTTGTTACAAGGTTCAGAGAGCTGAGCAACACAACTGACCATTCTCAGCACTTTATACAATGTGTTCTCTTTATGATGCTATTAGCCTTTAGTACAAAAAGAAGCATGTCGGGCTGTCTCTTACTTCCCCCACTTACATTCATCCCTTTGAGCAATTCATTGAAGGTGGTGAAAAGACCCCTGTACTTGAGGTCAAAAGAGGGAGATGGAGTCCTAGCTGTGTGGACTTGGGCAAGGCATTTCCTTGTGTGAGGGCTCAGTTTCCTCCTCCTTGTTTGGTAGCTCTTCATCAATCCTCATCTTTGTGGTTATCTTTTTTGTTTTTGCTCCCTGTTGGTACTCCCTGGGCCTGGCACTGCTCCTGACTATGTCATGGCTGGGTAGTTTGGGGACAGTTTTGGAGGCTGGGAAGTCTAAGGTCCAAGGAACACATCTGGTGAGGGCCTTCTTGGTGAGAACTTTCTGCAGAGTCCCAAGGCAATGCAGATTATCGCATGATGAAAATGGCAAGAGCACATCTGACCCTGTGATATTTAGACCTCGTGATGATCTTTAGACAGTCAGATTTGTTCAGGTAGCAGCTTCTTCCTACCCTTACCCATAGTTTAGGAAAGACTATTGTTGATGTCCTTAGTATTCTTTCTGCAGACTTAGGCTTTCAGCTCCCTCCCAAACCTGCTTCTCATTTTTAGTGGTACACGTTTAAAACACATGTAAACATGGTATAGTGGCTTGAAAACAGTGACTCACACTGATTTTTCCCCATTTCCTGGTGGTCTTGCCCTCTCCGTGCTCCTGATATCTCCCATCTGATGCATTCTCATACCTGAAAGCCCCATTCACAGGCTTTTCTCTCTGTCCTTCCCAGGCCTTTTCCTCTTTCCTGGAGGAAGGCAAGATCTTCACTGAGTATAAGCAGTCTTCACATTCAGTTTTCTATGCCCCCAGATGCTCTGAAAGGGACGCCCGGCTGGGCCTCTGTGCACATTCCAATGAGGCCATACCTGCTGCTTCAGGTAAGCCCTGAGTGCCCAACTGTTTTGGAAATACAATGTAAGGAATCTAAGTCTCCACTGATATCTCTCATAACCTTCGTGGGTACTCTTTGGGGTTGATGAACTCTTTTCTTATACTAAATCCATAGAAATAATAATCATAGTGGCCACCACTTAGGATGTGCTTTCCATATGTCAGGCTATATATGCCATATACGTGTGTGTGCATTATGTGTACATGTAGACACTCTCTGCCAGCCTTGTGAGCAATTTATTACTTACATTTAACTAATGAGAAAATGTAGGCTTGTAAGTTAAGCATCTTGCCTTAAGTCACTTAGCTAGTAAGTGGTG